TATAGAAAAAAATTTATGAAAAAAGAATAGTAATGTAATTTAAGAGAATATCTTTGGTTATGTTATTTTAAAAACATAAAGAATCTAAATTTAAATTGTTATTGAAATCATATGAACAAATTCAATTGCAAGATAATATCTAGTTTCCATAATTTTTCACTTGTTGATCTGCTCACAATTTTTTGGCATTGAATTGCTTTTCAGTTTTTTTTTGTTTAGATTGCTTTTTAGTTGTTCTTAATATATATATATATGAATTTGCTTTTTAGTTTTTTTTTTTAGATTGCTTTTTTTGGCATTGAATTGCTTTTTAGTTTTTTTTTTTTTTAGATTGCTTTTTAGTTGTTCTCAGTATATATATATATGTGTGAAGAAGAAAATGAATACTTTTTACTCCGGAGAACCATGAAATGCTTGAAATTCTTTCAAGCGAGAGATGAAATGCTTGAAATCACAAGGCAAATACGCAAGTCAACATATTTATATATATATAAAAAAGCCTACAAGTTAACATTTATATTTAGAGTACTCTATAAATAGTTATTATATTTTATAAAAACAAATTAATTAATTTCTCTAGTTTTAAAAACTAATCATTTAATATTATTTTATTTCAAAAAATATTTTTTTCTCATCAATCTTTTTATAATATCTATTTTTATTAAAAATAAAAAATATATAAAATAGACAAAAAGAATTAATAATTAGATTTTAAAATAGAAGTGACTGGATAGTTTTTCAAAACTAAAAGGACTAATTTATAATTTACTTATAAGATTTATTAGAAAGCTTCTCTTCAATTAAAGGATTTCTAAGGGTTCAAGTGCCAATGTTCTTGTTATTTTTTTAACCACCTCAAGTGCCGATATTCACTCAAACATATCTTATCCAACAAAAGGTTAATTGCCTTTTGTTTTTCCTCCATTCCATAAACTTTAATTCCACCCCATGCGTTGAAAAAAAAATTATGAATAAACTACAACACAATATCTTTGTTTGAAAGAATTAAATTTCATTAAAATATTTTTTCAATTTAAAATTCATTCGAGCAAAAAAAAAAAAGATAAGAAAAAAATTAAACAATTTAAAGTTAAACGGGTTTTGTAAACATAAAGTTTAATATAATAGTTGATTTACGATTTACCTACAGATCAAGTCAACTCATCCAAAGGGATTTACAATAGTTTTCCACATATATAATATATTTTTTTATTTAGAAAAAAATATATAGTAATTAAATAATAATATTGAATATGCTTGATATTTTAATTAATTAATTTAACAAAATTTTATTCTGTATTAATCATGTTATTTTTCTTGATTTTTTACATGAGTCTAAATTGTATGATAAATGGATTGAATTAAGAATGAACCTAATTCAACAAAAATTCTTGGATTATAAGGGTGGATACAAGCATTTTGACAAGAGCGAGTATACATTTCTTGTTTTTTAGATGTATTAAAGAGATTAATTTGACGGGCTCGGAGCAAGATCCGTTAAAAGGAGGCTCAATTGTTACTTCCTTAAGCCGTTGTTAGCAAGTTGAATGGATTGAATTAAGAATGAACCTAATTCAACACAAAGTCTTGAATTATAAGGGTGAACACAAGTATTTTGACAAGGGCGGTATACATGTCTTGTTTTTTAGATGCATTAAAGAGATTGATTTGGTAGACTCGGAGTAGGATCCGTTAAAAGGAGGCCTAATTGTTACTTCCTTTAGCCTTTTTCTAGCAAGTTGAAGCGAGTTAAGTCTAAAGAACCTAAATCTTCCAAACCAAACCTAATCATCCAAATTTGAATGACATGGCATGATTCTAACGGTCAAGTATCATATTCTTTCACTATAAATACCAATCTTATATTATTATAAAGGGATCGAACTTTTGTGTAAAAAAACTTTTAACTTCGTAACTTTCAATCTTTAGCAAAAAAAAAAAAATAAAAAATAATAATAATAAAATAAAATAAATAAATAAATATCTATCTTAAAACTCTTATACTCACACATGAGATAACACCCAAAACTCTAACTCGTTTATACTTTGACTACTTACATGTCGGCCATCCGATTTGTGCCTTGCTAGTATTCCCTGTCTCTCCTCTCACACCTCTCACTATTTGTATATTTTTTTATTTGATCGATTGATCATTGCTTTTATAAGTTATAACATTAACTCTTTGTATATTAATCGACTCTGCTGACTAGTCGTCTAATCAATTCTTAATAACCCTATCTATAAATATTTGTGGCCTCGAATCTGAAATATTCATATTAGTCTCATCTTATAATAAGTATTTCATTTGACATCCCAAACACAATGCATAAGTATGGTGGGTCTTTTGTGTACTTGTTCTTGACATCCAATAATCATGACCATCACCCAGTCCTCCTTCCAAATTGCTCAGTTTGGATGGGATAAAAGACTTTATGTCTTCACCGGATCGCAACCCAACACTCGATCCAATCCAAAGACTTTGTGTTGAAAACCACATAAAGTTTACATATAAAGGAATTACGGCATAAACATTAATCAATCTCTTCCACGAATCACTAGCACCATAAAATTACTTTGGTTTGTCAATGCCAATGCTCAATTTTCAATATTTACTAATAATTAATCAAAATTATCTATCAGTAGTATGAGATTTAAGCTGATTTAATTTAAGAGATAATCATAATTGTTCATTAATGATATGACACTTAAGTTGATTTACCTTAAAAGATATTTTAGTGATCGGTTAAAATCTAAACGTATTTAATATTAGCTTAGTTCAAAAAATAATGAATTTATTTTCAATTCATGTGAAAAATGATTTAAAAATACATTACTATCTGTAAATATCAAATAATAAAATAAAAATAATAAGTTTGTATTTTGACTTATATTGTTTGCTATTTCATTATCGAATTTGCTAGTTTTCTTTAAAATTAGTAAATTGTCTCATTTATTTCAAAGTTTGATTTGAATTGTGATTTGATGGAGCAAGAAAATAGATAAGAGTATTAAAAAAAGTACTCAAACCTTTCATACACTATTAAGCAATAGTATATGAAACAATTTCATTGTCGAGTAAGATTGATGGCGTGTTCAAAAAAGGTGCGTAAACCATGGAGGTTTTACGTTCTAAGCGAATCCCTATGCTTCAGTTGCCTGTGCTACATTACATTTAACTTATTTATTCTTTTAATTATGGAATAGTAAAAACAGAAAATTTGATTGGAAAAGAACAGCATTTAGTGAAGCAAAATAAGAAAATCACCGACAGTTTAAGGCTTTGATGATGGGAAAAAGATGAAGGGATTGTCTTATTGATGGTTACAAAACCATAGAAATTATTTTTCTCTATCCAAAAAAAAAAAAATTGTCTTGTTTTCTATTTTTTCTGTTTTAAAATATTTGTTTGATTAAAATTTTAAATAATATATTTTTTAAAAATACCTATAATTGATAAAAAAAATTATTTTTTAAAATTTTATTTTTCACTAACAAAAAATAAATATTTTTTTATATTTTTTCTTATGCATACAAACATCTTTAACATAAAAATTTTAAAGATTTTTTTTTGTTATATAAAAAATATTCATTCTTATAAAGATTTTACTTCATACTAAAATTTTGAGAATAAAATATTTTCGTTAATATATTTATTTTTTAATAATTATTTTAAATTTGATGGTCAATTAATTGAATATTTTTTTCTTTGATTTGCATTTAATTTTGAATATATTTGTAAAATTAAATTTGATAACTAATAAATTTTTTTTTTTTTAAGGCGGAAAAAGTATATCGATCCATTGAAAGAGAAGAAGTATTAAACTATTTCTCAATCTAAAGGAACTAATTATTCCTTTGGAACTCCACAGATTAATTAATGAACCAAGCAGGTTATTATGATTATGAATCAGAGAAGCCATATATTGTGTCTATTGACGGACATTTAAATTAACACCCTTCAGCTGAGTGTCAACATTGTCAAAGTGGGTCCTGCTTTGGTACTTTTTGTAAGGAATTTACTAGAAAACCCATAACTACCTTATTCCAGCACCTAGCCAATCACAGCTTGTCCTTGTCAATTCTCAACTTGATTGGGCCACTCTCTTTTCATTTCTGTTTTCTTTCTCTTCTAACATATTATTAAAGGGAAGAAACTTTTCTTTAGCTGCAACGCCCACAAACACCATATCCACCAATCACAACTCAACACCTTTGACTTCTCTCTCTCTCTTCTGTTCGTCATTTCTCTTTCCATAGATCCCTCTCTTGCAAGTAGCATTAGTAGGAAAGAACTGGCATATTTGTGTTCTCTGAGGCATCACTACTTTTTTTTTCCTCTTTCTTTTTTTTTTTTTTTTTTTTTTTTTTGGCCTTTTAGCTTATAGTGAAAGGCAAATGATAAAAAGCTAGCAAAGCACCAATTTTTTTGCCATTTTCTCCACTAATTCTAGAGGCCATCTTTCTTTTCTCTGTTTTTTTTTTCCCCTCAATTGGGTCTTTTTGCTTTTGCTGCTCTCTTTTAGTATCTTTTTAAGCAAAGTCTTAATCCCATTTTTTTTGGGTTTGAAGTTTGAACTTAGAGTTTCGAAATTTATGGTGGAGTATTGTTTTCTTTTTGAAATTTGAAAAGGGCTTTTTTTTCTGAAATTGTTTTGGTCTAGTACTAGGGTTTATTATTGGAATATAAATTAAGATCTGGTTGTTTTGTTATTGCTTCAAGAATTTTCCTTGGGTTTTGGAAAGTTGCAAACTTTTTAAGATTCCTCAATTTGTAAAAAGAAAGCTTCTCAAGATTCTAATCTAGTAACTTTTGATTTGATGGCTTTTTGATCATAAAATTCTCCACTTCTCTGCATTTCCCATTTGGTGATTCTCTCTCTTTGAATTCAAAGGGAGAGAAAAAACTAAGTGATAAAGTGCCTATCTTGTATGTTTATAAATCATCTTTGGCATGCTAGCTAGTTATTTGCTTTGATTATACAGTGTGACTATCTACAACTATGAATCGGGGTATTGGAATCCTGTATCCGGCCTCGTATTTTCAGAATTCAAACTGGCTGTTTCAAGAAAGCAGTGGAACGAAATGGACCACTGAGGAGAACAAGCAGTTCGAGAATGCTTTGGCTTTGTATGACAAGGATACGCCTGATCGGTGGCTGAAGGTGGCAGCCTTGATTCCAGGCAAGACTGTAGGCGATATCATCAAACAGTATAGGGAATTGGAGGAAGATGTTAGCGATATAGAAGCAGGACTGATCCCAATTCCTGGATATAATAGTGATTCTTTCACGTTAGAGTTGGTAAGTAATCAAGGGTATGATGGATTGAAACAATTCTATAGTCCTGGAGGCAAGAGGGGCACAACCACTCGGCCTTCTGAGCAGGAAAGGAAGAAAGGTGTGCCATGGACCGAGGAGGAGCACAGGTATATTAGATTTATTTGACTGTGAAGCTATCGTGTCATCATTTTATTTTCGCAATAGTGATAGTTAATGAAAACTGGCTGGGTATGCAAGTGTTCGAAATTGTGTTAATTGTCGCTTCTCTTGGTCTTTTTCTATGCTGGTTTTGCTTGAATTGAGTTGTCGTAGAATTTGCTGTCTTGCTGAGGTAATTGAGATGAGATCAATGACTAACTTGGCGTTTAGCTTATGATAGACCTAGGTATATTGTTCTTTATAAATCTTTTATAATAGAATTCAACAGCTTGAAATTGTCAATGTGCAGCAGAACTAGTTTAAACTTGCCTTCCTTAAAATGTCTCTTTCATTCACCTATGCGTGTAGTTTTTATGTTTTGGTGTCTTATCTGTTAATACTTGACATAAACTGCAGACAGTTTCTTTTGGGTCTTCAAAAGTATGGTAAAGGGGATTGGAGAAATATCTCCCGCAATTATGTGACCACTAGGACGCCGACTCAGGTGGCTAGCCATGCTCAAAAGTACTTTATCAGGCAAAGTACTGGAGGAAAGGATAAGAGGAGATCTAGTATCCATGATATCACGACTGTCAATCTTCAAGATGCCAAATCTCCTTCACCAGAAAACAAAAGGCCGTCATCTCCAGATCATTCAACCACAACCATGCAATCTCAGGCACAACCAAAATCGGCTGGTATGATTAACGGGTTATTTGACTGGAAATCACAAAATGAAGGAACATCCACGGCTTTCAATCCAGCAAATGGCAATTTGCTGATGACACCTTTCTGTGGGATATCCTCATATGGATCCAAGCTGCAGGAGCAAAATCTGCTTGGAGGAACACTTCCAGGATATCAGTTCGGTCCTTACAATTTGATTTTTCCGATGCAATCAATGCAGCATCAATAAGATCATAGATGAAGTTAAGCATTTAGGGTTCTGAAGGTATTTTTATCCTATATGTTATTCAGCTTGTTGGATAGCTTTGTCTATTCTCAATCTTGGTTTGTTGTGAATATGTCAATGAGGGCTCAAGTTAGTCCATATTTATTCGACTCGTACAGAACGATCGCTTAGCTTATGCCGTGATTTTGTATTCAAATCTGAATCATTGAACCAAAAGGAAGCTCATTTATGTGAAGCTTGACTTTTGATTGCATGTGAATGTCCTGGCGGTTGTGTTTGGAATTCAATTATAGTTGCAATGTTTGGAATTCAATTATGGTCGCAAGGCATATTCTGTTTGGACTTTTGTGTGTTTTGAATGTTGGAATTTCCATAAGAATCGTTCCAAATTGTCCTCGAGCATGAAAGGGTCATGAATAGATGGGGTACCTTTCAATTATTGAGTAGCTGGCCTGTAGTACACGATGCAGTTTCCTACTTCACGTAGTGGATGAAATACAACCATCAGAACAATGAAGAATGGAACTGAAATTTTTTTTTTGTAAAGAGAAGTTTGAGGCATTCACTTTAGACACCTGTAATGCTCATGTGATATTGCTTTGAGCGAAATAAGGCAGCAGTTTTCTTGTAAAAACATACCATGTCAAATCCTCAATCCAAATTTGCTTGGGTCACAATTCCGTAATATTTCTTTTCATTTTCAAAGGACATTTTGTGATCTCCTTTTTCTTGATTCCTTTATACAAATGGTTTATGCATTTGACTCGATGCCCGAATTTGGCAATGGAATCTTGACTGAAGCTTGAGAGTAAGGGCCACTAGTTGAAGCATCTAATGCTTCATTCTGCACTCTTCTCTCTTTGTTCTGTTCATGAGTATGACAGCGTTCGTTCTCTTATCACTTCGTTCTCTAATTTAAGAAGTAAAGTTAAGTGGAAGAAGATCCTGTAAGATGTTTTAGTGACTAAATTAATGTAACTGTGCCACTGAATTCCCTTTTTTTTTCTTTTTTTTTCTCCTCCTCCTTCCATATATGCAGATCCTCTAAACTAGTCATAAGTTGAATCAACAATCATGGGGTTGTTCTCTGATTCTTAAATATGAACTTTGATGTGACTCTGTTCATTAATTGAGAGATTCTATCTACGCACTAGATGGGTTTAGGAATTCAACCATTAATTAAATCATGTTAAGATTATATAAATGTTTTCCATGCTCAAAAGAGCTCTTGAAGATTCTCCTAATGGGTCGGTAATACTTTGCTACCATTTATTTTTGTGGAAGTAGCTCGTGGCTAGAAAGGATGATATAAGTAGTTGACATGTTGATTCCAAAGAATTTTGAATTATTAGTCAAAAAAGATAAAAAGTTTTTAATTTTTTTTAGATATGTAATTAAATTTTTTTATTTTGTTGACTAATTTCAGATGAAAAGAAACTCAAACACAGATGCCTATGAAGAGAGCATACTCTCATTCTTCATTTTACTAATTATTCAGTTGGCTTTCCATGGTCTCCTTCGCTAAGTTTGACATATTTTGATTGGGTTGTATTGCTTTATAAAAAAATAAAGGGGTAATTACTAGAAAAATCTTATAAAAAAGTCTTTCATCTAAAAAACTCATAAATTTATTTTTAAATCTCTCAAACCTAAAATAATATTTTTCTTATCAAAAACACTTAATAATTAACGTTAGTGTTAACTATTGGTTGCTTTGGTAAGAAAAATATTGTTTTAGGCTTGTGAGATTTAAAAATATTATTTTGTGTTTGGGAGATTTAAAAATAAAATAGCAAATTTTTTATATTGAAGATTTTTTAGAAGATATTTTGGTAATTATCCCTAGTTTAAATGAAACCATTATCTTTCAAGATATGTATTTCTATCATGGTTGATCATGTTTTATTTAATTAATGCACTAGAATATGTTATACATTCATCTTGTAATTTAATTTAATTGTTTGATAAAAAATGTTGAGTTTTGATTAATTAAAAACTATTATTACCGATGATGCTTTTTTTTCCTATCAATATATTAAGATTTAAGAAATCACTAATGTTCGTAATCATACATATTTTATTTTTCTTATTTGTATGATAACCCTTTGATTAAATTACTATCGAATGACAAGAGTCTCATTTCATCAATATTAATTAGTTAAATTATCTCGGTTGCTATAGTTAGTAGATGGTAAAATTAATCTCGTAATTAATGAAACAAACAGATCAATAAAAAAAACTCTAATATAAGGGATTTTTTAGTATACTAAAAGAAAAGTAGTCGAATGTTAGCTTTTAAAAGTCAAGGAAATCTCAAAAACGTTTTTTTTCTTTCAAATGCAATAAAAAAAAACTTGACTTGATCATGAAAAAATATATATATTGAACTCATTAAAAACTACGAAATGAGTTTATAATTAGATAAAAACTATAAGAAAAAACTCTAAAAAAATTTCTATCTAAAAAATTCATCAATTTATTTTTTAAATCTCTCAAAACTATATATATATATATATATATATATATATATAAAATCTTACCAAAAGACCCAATAGTTAACTAGTGTTAAGTTAGAGGTTAAATATTAAGTGTTTTTGTAAGAAAAATATTATTTTGGGTTTGAGAAATTTAAGAATAACTTGATGGGTTTCTTGGATATAAGATTTTTTTATAGAGTTTTTCTGGTAATTATCCCAAAAATAAAACTAAGGAAATTCTTATGTTTTCAATTCGGTCAAATTGAACACGTGTATTTTTAATTTTAATTAATTAAGTATAACTTTTGAAAAGATAATATTTATCTCAATCAATTAAGTATTTTTATTCACTACATAATTTATTATTATCCAGTTTTTTTTTTTTTTTCATTCTAATTAGCCTATCTCACACTTTTTATTGAGCAGTTCTTCTTTCAAATTATAAATGCTCAATTGACTAAACTGATAACATAAAGTTTTTGTTTTTGTTTGTTTGTTTGTTTGTTTTTTTTAACAAACTGATAAAAAACACAGCTTAAATAATGGGTTTAGCCAAAAATGTGATTTACAAACCAGTAAGGAAGCAACACCAGAAGTGACAGCATGGAAAAAGAAAATTTCAGTGAGAGTTGAACTTGATACCTCTTCCTGTTCTGTTCTGTTCTGTTCGTCTCCTTTCTTTTGTCGCTGCTGCTAATCGTTGGCACTAACATTGATGTTGTTTATGCAAAACCTTCATGAATAGCTAGCCTACTAGTGCCCCATCACATATTGCTTTGCACCTATTATTCATGGTCCCCCCACTACACAAACACTTCAAGGCAACATGAGCAATATATAAAGTCTGTTGACCCTTTTTCATAGGTTCATGACAAAACTGCCCTACTTTCTTTTCAAAAGCAGAAGCTTTTCTGCAAGTTGCATAAAGCAGCACTTCGAATATTTTCTTTTCTTTCCCATTTTCTAATCAAACCCACCCCAGTCTCTCACACTCCACATACTAAACAGCCCTTCTCTGTTTCAAACAACATTCTATTCTTCCCCTAAATGTTAGCATATATTAATGCAAAGACTCTACGATTGACGTATAAAATGATCCCATGATAATTTTTATTATTAAATAAGAAAAAGAAGACTTTTTTTTTATAAAAAAAAAATCATTTCTTAATAGCATATGATGGTACCTCAATAGAATAAAATAAGAACGATTCCACCATGGGGTCTTTTTATGTCTGTAATTAATTAAATTTGAAACATAAGAAACAAATTTCATATATACATTACAAATATACAGGGAAAATTATGAAACGTAAAAACATGGGCAATTGCATCATCAATTATACACTTTAATTAAAAGGTGGTTGCTGGTAAATGCGAATACATACCAAAGCCAATAATATAGATTAGGATATGTTTGATTAGAGTGGGCAATATGAGCATTAGATTCCTTCTCGTGCCTTCCCTTTGGGAACATTTGTCCAATACTATATTATACAACTAATTAGAGAGCTTTTAGCCTTTTTGGTATCAGATATGAGATCATTTGATCTAAAAAACTCAATAATCAACTAAAGACTAAACGTATTTTATTATTGGTTTGATTAAAAAAAAAAAATTAGTCTCAATTAAGATAAAAACTAATCTAAAAATATTTTATTATCACATACACATATATGTGTGTGTATTTTTCAACTATAAATAAATGCCAGATGAAGACCCTATAGGTCTATATTAGTGGTGTTCCCACATTGTATCTCCTTCTAGTTTAATATTTAAATCATGTAAAAATATGCTTCTTCTTATTTTTAATCATAGATAGAATCCTCTTATCTAAGATCAGTAATTAAACAGTCAAGAATTAGCATTAAACTAACTGAATTGACTACCATTATAAATAAAAAAATAAAAAATTATTCTGATATCTTTTTACAATGAATTTTTTTTTAAAAAAAAAACTCAAATATTCTAAAAAAAAAATTGAACTCATGATATTTTATAAGTATAAAATATTTACTATCATTAGACTAAAAACCTATTAGTATCATGCTAAAAATATGCAATTTGTAAGAAATAGGTTGTCTTCATATGTTAAATTTAGAACAAAGTTGGTCATTTTTTTTTCGAATTCCATTGAAAATTTTCATTAAAATCAAAATTAATAGCTGATAAATGCTACGTGATGTGACATATACCGACGCTTGACGTAAGATACAACGTAAATTGGCAAGAGAACCGAACAAAGGATTAAACTTCAAAGACCCAAATCATTAAAAAAAAAAAATTGTACGATTAGATGTAATTGAATCATTAAATTACAATTAATAGAATGTCAACTTTCAATTCAACCATTGAATTGAAAATTCTCAAAAGGCTTGACTAATAGAATAATGGGTATGCGTGTTTGCGCGTAGTGGATATCATGTAGCAAAATTTGCAATATGATTAGTAGTAGTTAATTTAGAGCTCGAAGTAGCACAATACAACAAAAGTCTAAATTCTCATAATTGCAACCCATGATTTACAGCT